CCAGCGCCAGCCGTTGTGGCTGCAGCGGCCTCAGGTCCCGTCCGCGCCGAGGCATGGGAGTGCTGGACTGGGCTGTCCGCCGGTTGCAGCGGGCGAGACCGGGCCGCCCTGGCAGCGCCACGGTGGAGATGTCCAGCCATGCGGCGCGCTACCTGCAGCGCTGACTCGCCCGGGCGGGGACAGGCGGAGGCTGTGGAGCTGAGCCTTGCCTGCTCCCTTGCTGCCTGTGCTGGTGAAGGGCCCTCGTGGCTGCAGAGGAGGCGTCTGCCCGTGCTGGGCGCTGGGGGCATGCACGTGGCCGGGCAGGTAGTGCTGCCTGCGGTGCTGGCCAGGCTCTCGGAGACCTGCCTGTGCAGGATTCTTGCCTGTGGTGCTGGCTCCCAAGAGGACCAGGAATCACTTATTGCTCTCTGGGGTCAGAAAGCCTGAAGGGCTTCCAGATGTCCAGCTGCTTGGCCAGCTCAGGAGCCTCACAGCAGCAGTCTGGCTCTCAGAATAAGGCAAGGCCCTTGGCACCTGCTTTGGCACTCTGGCCTGTCCAGGACTTGGACCTACTCCTTTTCCAGCAGGTGCTGTGGCACCCTGGGAGCACTGAGTGTCTCAATACTTGGGGTGCTCTGCACCCCTCAGCCTGGTACTTGTGCCCTGCGTGTGTCTTTGGTGAGGGGATGATGACGCTGTTTTGGAAGGTAGCAGGAGCCTTGGCATGTCATGGAAGAAGTACTGTTTGCTTTGTGAGTGGGGCTTCAGGCAGGAAAGGCCCTGGTTTGTGGACAGGAAGCTGCACAGCAGCAGAATGATTTACTGCCTGCCTTGATCTCTGGTCAGTCCTTGAGACATGTTTCTGGGAGCTAGGCTCTACTCTTGGGTTGAGATCCTGGATGTCCTGCATCATTGCTCTGGGCTAGTGCACGTGCATAAAGGAAGCACATTGTACATTGAATAGACCAGGCTCTGTCTTCCTCGCTTCTCCCCTTGAACTCTGAGATGCAAAGCCCTGAGTCCATCACAACCGGGTGAGGAGTAGTGCTGGTCACCCAGTGAGCTGTGCTGGCAGAAGGCTGTTGCAGTTGAGCGGTTCCTGCCTTGGGCAGGGGGTTGGACTAGCTGACCTCAGGAAGTCCCTGCCAGCCCACTTCTCTTTATAACTATGGTATATAATCACATACCTTCTTTGTAGTGGGTCTCCAGGGTTTAGCAGCTGCTAGGGCAGGAGCGAGAGAGATCCTGGCCTTGGGACAACTATGCAGACCCCATGAACTAGAGCAGGGGTGGCCAAGCCATGGCAGGGGCAGCTTCTGTGTGTGGCATGGAGCAGGTCAGGGAGGAGACTGGCAGCACAGCAGCAGATAGGGCAGAAAGCGGAACAGCAGAGGAAAGGGGTCAGAGTGGCACACGGGGAGGCTGTTGGGCTAATTTGCAGTCCCCCTTTCAAAAAGGGTGGTCCCCACTGAACCAGAGGACCAATTTCTAGGTTCAAAGATGGAACAGAGCAGCTTGCTCACCTGAGCAAGCCCTCTGTAATGCCGGCCAGAGCATTTCACCTGTGGCTCCTGCTAGAGGAAGTTTTGGAGAAAGGCACCCAGCACTGACAGGCTCAGAGATGGCAAATCCCCCACATTCCTGTCAGTTTTTTCAGTGGTTAATTACTTGCTGTTAGAAATCTGCATTATTTCTACTATGAATATGTCTAGCTACAATATTTCTAGGTCACAGTTTCTAATGGTAGAAGTCAGGCTGCAGATTAGCCCCTTATCCTTCCTGAGTGCCCCTCCAGTCCCTTTCCTCTACCCAACATGTTGCTCTGCTTTCCCCCTCCTGCACAGCTGCCACTTTGCTGCAGGTGATGCTCTGCTTTCCACCTCCTGCACAGCTGCCACTTTGCTGCAGGTCCCCTCCCCGATCTGCTGTATGCCTCTCACAGAGGCTGCCTGTGCCACAGGTTGGCCACCCTTGGTCTGCAAGGTGCCACCTTACTCTGTCTTCGTAATCTGTTGGCTATCTACAGTGCCCTTTCCTCAACTTTTGCAGTCTCACTGCTTTCCAAGTGCAGTCTCCCATCCTGTGAGCATGACATCTGTTCATTCATCCTAGATGGAAAACCATACATTTGGCATTACATTTTGAGTAGTTTGCTTGCACCCATGATCCGGATCGCTCTAACAGCCCTCTATCTCTCCTCCATATTTTCTACTGACCCAATATATCTGTCCTCTGCAAACTTTATTAGTAGTAATAATTGAACTAAAACTCTTTAAGCAAAGGGCGTTAACCCAGGCCTGGGAGGCAGACTACAAGGTACTTCCCTAATGCTCATTGTGGAGAAGGACCTGAGGTGATAGGGAGCGTCATCAAAGGTTACAGCATCATCTCTTCATATTGCCAAGGAGCGGTTGTGTAGCCCCAGTGGCTATGGCTTTGGTGTTTTGCAGGCACCGAGCTGGGGTTGCAGTCCTCCCAGGTGTAATGCAGACTTGGGGCTCTAAAGGAGTAGCATTTGAGGGGGAAATTTTCTTTCATTTCTCTGGAAATGTCCTAATATTTCAAGTTTAACGCTGTTTTTCCAGAGAGCTGCTTGGCCAATTCTTATGAAACTCTTGGGTGCAAGTTCTTTGGACCACCGATTTTAAAAAATGTTTATCTTTAGCACAGTGGAGGCCAACCTTTTTCTCAGATGTGCCACAAGTTAAGCCCTGAACCTTCCCCGAGTGCCATGCCAGTCCCCTTCCCCTGCCTGGTCTGCTGTTTTGTTTTTTGCACCCTTTCCTGATTCCCTGTCTGATCTGTTACTTTGCCTTCTGCTCCCTACACTGTCTGGCACTGGGCTGCCTGCCCCTCCCTAAGATACAGCGTGCCACATGCAGAGGCTGCCCATGCCACTTGTGGCCCTCGTGCTGCAGATTGGCCACCCCTGCATTAGTGGATGATGTTGACTGTTTCCTTAATTCTGATGCATCCTGTTGGTGAGAAAGGTGAGGAGTCTGCAGCCCAGCCTAGATTTCAGGGCTCTGAATCAGTAGGACAGTTACCCAAGGGGCCATCAACCTCTGGTAGAGGAATGATCTGATGATGTTTCATAGATGGTAGGGTCAGAAGGGACCTGAGGAGATCAACCAGTCCGACCCCCTGCCGTGGCAGGAAAGAGTACTCTGGATCCTGCACTTGCAGTGCTTGGGGAGGCCATCTGATTTGTCATAGCAGAGCACTAACCCCCTTTGTGGGCTGGCATGTTCAGTGCTCTATATCCTCATTAGCTGCTGGATAATATCTGTGGGCTCCCAGTCTTTGCAGGTGGGCCACCTGTTTGCTCAGCCAGCTCAGCTACGTCATGAGTGACACTGCTCCAGGTGGCATGGCAGAGCACAGGATGTATCCTGTGGGCTTATAGGGTCAGTGGGGTTTTTATAAACTACCCAGTGTCCCAGCCCAAAAACAATCAGGGCACTGGGAGCCATGGCAGATATATCTCATCTCAAAGCCTCCCTGGCCTAGGGCAGGATCCAAGATATTACATTACATGCCTGGCAGAAAAAATGAGCATGTCCTGGTACGTGAGGGCAAGAGCTCTGCTGTGTTGCAGACAGCCACAGGTATTCCTCCCAGAACAGCTCTCAGAACCAGAAAGCAATGCTCTGCCCTGGTAGTTCTCAATCGGGGTGCTGTGATTCTTCTTAGGGTACCATAGGGTGCCATGTGGTCTTGGCATTGAGGTCTGGAAACACCTGCCTACATGCAATTCAAAAGATAAACCCAGAGATCCCAAATAGGAACCCATCGTGTCAAAAACATTCTGAACTGTTGTAGCCTGAGTTCTTTGCAACAAAATAATTGCTCCAATTTTTCCGTTGTCAAAAATGAGTGAAAGCTCAAAGTTAACATTTGGGGAGGCAGCCATGGGGGGTGCCCAGAGTCTAGAAATGTTGAAACCACTGTTCTAACCCATCCTGGGAATCCTGTCCCTGGCAGCCTGGATGCAGACAGGCAGACATCTGTAGACATCTGTCTCTGTTGGACAGCTTGTGTCCTGATCTCTTGAAGGCTGGCTACATTAAGGACCTGCAGCTCTACGTGGGAAAGGTTTGCGGCAAAATTCAGAGAGACCCTTTACATACAAACTGCTCGATGGCTTCACCTGCCTGAGTCCAACCTACAGAACCAACTCTATCCAGGGACATTGGGCATCCATTGTAATCTGTTGTGAATTTGTAAAAGGCAGACTCTGTCTGTCTCTGTGGCCCTTTGTCATCAGGCTTATGCAGGGCTTAAACACCCATGTCCACTAAAATACCCCTGTGTCACATGGTATTGGCACAGTCCTGCCAAACGTGCTGAAGGGGAGCAGGGCTAATCTTGTAGTGGGAGCAACATGCTCCAGCAGCTGGTCCACTTTGTGCCACGTCTTACAAGGATGCTGTGCGGCTCTCAACCCCTGGGTTCTTCTCATGGTGGTGGCAGTGCAGAGCCACTTAACGGACCAGTCATCCTGCCAGTTACCTTTGCTGACCATAGGCCCATCTCGGTGAACCTGCTTTCCACGTTCTAAAAACCTTGGGCTTTGTCTAGAACAACTGAAGCCTGAGAAAGTTCATGTAACACTCATTCCTTTTGATGCCAGTACACCGGTCACTGCTATGGCGCAGAGCCTGTCTGCATGGGTGTCTCGTGTTTTATGTTGCTGTGTCCTGACTGCTTAAAACGAGAAGGTTGTGTTAAGGCAGACTCAGTCTGAAGCCAGGTGCCTCTTGCTGCCTTGGGGGTGATTCTGCGGCGGACAGCAGCAAGGCTGGCATGCTGTCCTCCCTCCAGGCATCCACATGGGATTATTGCTTGAGTTCTAGTGGAGGGAGTCCTCACTGGCATTTTGTGCTGCAGAACACGCTTCTATATCTAGGAAGATCAAACTAGCCATCAAATGAGGCCTTGGCCAGCAAAAAAAATAAAAGGGGTGTGTATGCGCAGATGCGTATATGTCTGTGTGTGCATGTGCCCCCCTCTCTGGGCTTGCACATGGCACCTGCTGATGTGCTTGAGCTGGAAATGTGTCTTCGTGTTTTGCTGCATACATCAAATAAACCCTTTCCTTATTCATGTGGTTGGGGCTGGACTTGTTGCTGCTTGCTGCCATGATGCTCTAGCTTCATGTTTCCCTAGAGTGGGAGTCCTGATGGGGAGTATTTTTAGGGGTTGAAAAATTGTTCCTCTTCTTGGGAGCAGTGTCTCGGCACAATTCATGCCTCCTGACAGCTCTGCAGCTTTTCTCTGTTGAGAGATTTTTCTCCTGCCCTCTGTTCGTCTCCGCGCCCTGCTGAAGCACATTTGAGATGGTACCTCCAGCTAGGACCTACCTCCTGCTGACGTGAGTTCCGCGGGTCAGCGCTACAGACTGCAGGGATTTCCTGTGTTGTTCCAGCTAAGCCTAGTTTTGATTCTGGCAGCAGGGTGGGGAAAAGTGGCTGCTCAATTCTCGCCATGACCTTTATCATCTTGCATGGCAACTTTCTTCAGCAGAGAGTTATTTTGTGGTTTCTTGTTGCCCCAATTTATTTTCTCTGATGGAACTGAGATTTGTGTGACTAGTAACATACCTTGTTCATTGGACAGGGTCACCTACCCTCCACATAAAACAAGTCTCTAGAGGAGTTCAAAATGGGCTCCATGCCCTTCCAACTGTGAGAATGAAACATTGGCATCTGCACAACTGACCTGTGTGACAAGTACCAGCTCTAACGGAGGTCACCAGAATAAACCAGCCCCCATTCTTTGCTCTTATGCACAGTAACTGTAGGGACCTCGCTGCCAGAAGAGCTGTGGAACAGGGTGAAGGTTGCTGTGTTGGCTACCAGGAGCTTGTAGCTGCTTCTGCAGGAGGCAAGTCTGGAAAGAAAGAGCTGCCTTGTCTCTGCTGTCGTCTTGTGCAGTCTGGTGATGGAGCTTTTACAGCTTCCCTTAAGGAGATATCTGGAAAACATTTTTTTTTGCCTTTTTTAAAAGAAGCAGAATAGGAGATAGGGTGCCTGTCCATGCAGTGCTGAGACCAGGAGCTCCTCTTCCCTGCAGCATGTGACCAAAGGGGTGCCTGATGATATCCAAAGGTGGGAAATTGAAAACTTCAGAGGAAAAAGGCTTCTTCCTGCCATGTGATTGCCTGTGAGGCCCATTGCCGCAGTGTGGTACTAAGGCTTAGCACTTGGCAGGCTCTGGGAAGGATCTAGCTCAGGGGTGGGCAGTTATTTCAGGCGGAGGGCCGTTTACTGAGTTTTGGCAAGCCATCGAGGGCTGCATGACAGGCACCCAAGAGCAGATAAATATTAATTTTCTAGATTTTTTAGGGGTCCTGCAGGGCGGATAGAATGGCTTGGCAGGCCACATTTTGCCTACCCCTGGTCTAGCTAGTTATCTAGCTGAGAAGGGTGTTCAGAGTGTGGCATGCATGTGCTGGAAGGGTCGCGGCCAGCTTCTCTGCCTGTTGCAACTGGAACACTCCTTCCCAGGGAGCCAGCAGGACCCATGCCTGCTGCTGTGGTTTGCCACACCTTCCTCTGAAGCGTCCAGTGTGGGCTGCTGCTGCAGACAGGAGTATGCTCAGTGGTCCTGCCCAGGTCCTGCTGGCTGTGCCCCATTCCTGCCCCTGCTGCGCACTGGCTCCCTGATGCAGCTGCTGGGTGTGGTTTGGTGACCTGAGATGTGTGCCACATACCTTCAGCTCTCAACGCTCCCTTGGATTTGGCCACTCCAGCCCTTTAATGGCTCTTTGACCTCCACCCTTCGATCTCTCTGCCAGCAAGGCACCAGCACAACCCAGGGTCAGCAGAATTAGCAGGTTGCCTTTTCCCTGAGCAAGGCCATGCAATCCCAGATTACACTGACCATTTCTCTTGATGTTGCATTGCAGACTCATGCCTGCTTTGCTGTCTGCTTTTCCTCCCCACAGCCTCCCCGCCCCTTAGCTCTCTCCCTGCCAGGGTTTTTCAGGTTATTTCCTCCTGATTCAAATCTATGCTTTTGTTTCCTTTTGTCAGTAGCTTGTATGTGCTACCTTCCTGCCCTTAATTGCTGGTGCCCCGCCCCTGCAGACTGACACACCCCAAGTTTCTTGCAGGGGGGGCATGAAACCTTGTCTCCCTGAGACATTCAACTCTTGGCCCTTGGGGATAGTCTGTATCAGAGGTGCAGGCTGCCTAGCCCACAAAGTTGCCGGGAGTTGATTGTTTAAACTAGGGGTGCTCAGCCCCTGGTCTACAGGCCAGAATCAGCCCCCACAGCTGTCATCCAACCTGTGGGGGTCCCCACAGGCCTGAAAAGTTACCAGTGGAAAGCAGTGACCCTTCCTCTGCCACCACGCTTTCAGAGCTGTGAGGAGCCCTGTGGGCCAGATAGCATAACCCTGTGCACTACACTGGGGACCCAGGGTGGTACAGACCTGATCCAGGGGTGATGCAGGGCACCAGGGCTTGATTCTGGCATGCAAGGACTGATCCTAGCCCACAGGGCTGGTGCGGGGCCTGGTCTGGGTGTACAGGGGTCAGCCAAAGCTATGCCAGGCCCAATCCAGGCCACAGACCGACTCTGTGCCACTCACCTGGCCTGCGGGGCCAAATGGTTGAGCACCCCTGGATTAAATGGTAACATGGGTAGGTGGGTGAGAGCCCACCAGAGGGACAAGATAGGCCAGGCTCCCTGGGACAGGAGCAGCATTCAGGGAAGCAATACTGCTGCTATCTCATTGACTGCCTGAGTCCTCTGAGCAGCCACGCGAGTGACTTGTGCTAGCCTGCTGCCTTGCTCCGCTATGAGTGCAATTACTCAGCCTGCGGTGGCTTTCAGCCACAGCGGGGCATGGATGCATGCTGGGAAGTTCCCAAGGGCTTACTGACCAGGCAGGGACCGAGGCAGCTTTCCTGCTCAGAAGTCCGTGGCTCCCTGTCCTGCAGATGGGGGAGTCTGGTTGCTTACAGCCTGGTCAGTGCTGGGTGTCTGGGGCCTCACCTTACTGCTGGGGTAGAAGAGAGGTGTGTGATGCTGCATTTCTCGCTCACTGACAAATCTTTCTTGTTCCTAGTTGTCACCTGTTGTTCTCAATGGATTCCAGTGAGTTTCCTGGCTCTTTGGACCCCCTTTCTCTGCCAGATAAGCCACTTATTGGCGATCTCCCTGCTGACATGGAGTTTGGGGAGGATCTCCTGGCCTCCCAGACTGCTGCTTCTACCCAGCCAGTCTCAGCCCTGCAGCCCCCTGAGATGGAGTGGGAGCAGTCCAAGCCCGTGACTTCAGAGAGAGACTTGGATCTTCTGGTGAAATCAGACAGTCTGGCTGACCTAAGCAAACCAAACAGCCTTGATCTAGATCAGCCCAGTGTCCTGGATGTGCTGGAGAAACCCGGAGTTTTGGATGACCTGGACAAAGCTGCTGACTTGATGGGTTTAAACAAGTCTGAGGACCTGGAGGGGCTGTACAAGGCCCATTCATCCCAGGACATGGCCAGCGAGCCTGGGGGCTCCTCTGCATTGCCTCAAGCAGACCTGGCTGCAGAGACATGGAAGGAAGAGGATGGGGAGCCCAAAACCAACCCTGGGGACTTGGAGGAGGACAGTGCCATAGCTGCTCCTGTGCTGAGCGATGGTGGTACCCCAGAGTTGCCCGAGGCGCCTGCTCCTGACCCCGGGGAGCAGAGCAGCACTCCCCCTGCAGAGGAAAGCACCACCCAACCCTCGGATCTGCCAGCAGCTCCACTGCAGCCAAGCCTGAAGCAGGTGAAGAAGACCAGATTGAAGGCCCCAAAGAAAAGCTCCACCATACAGAAGGAAGGGCCAGCAGCAGAAGAGGGAATGGAGCAGAGCCCAGATAGCAATGTGCAGGCCCTGCCCCCGGACCACGTTGGCGATGGCCAGGGGGAAGAAGGCAGCGAGGGTGGCAAACCCTCGCTGCAGAAGGAGAGTGGCACACCAACAGCCCAGGATGCCACGCAGCAGCCAGCAGCAGGTGGGTGGGTGCTTGCACCTAGGGCTTGGGCTTTTGTGAGATCCCTGGCAGGCAGCCGCTGCCACCACTTCAGGCCACGTGGCTGTGCCTAGCTCTGTCTTGCCCAGTGGCAGTTAGTGTTGTTTGCCAACAGGCCGTCTGAAGCAGCCCCTAAAAGGTGGGTCTGGAAGCTGTGACAGTCAGGGCCCTGCATGTATTTGAGTGTGCTCCCTGCCTGTGGGACCTTCTGCTCTGTTTGTCTGTGCTTCTGGTGGCTCTGAGGCCCCTGGGATGGGTCAATGGTGGGTCACCAGTGGCTTATGGGCCACTTCCCTGCTGCGAACGCTGCAGTGCTGGGGCTATGCAGTGTTGGGAGGGACATTTCTGATAGGTGGGGCCTACCATCCCTGCTCCCCTCTGCAGGGAGCAATGCCCGGACCTGCCCAAGGCATGTGTCCCTGATGCAGCTGAATCTGCCTGGTGCTTTCAAAGAGAAGATTTGGCTTTGGGGCTGTGAGCTCAGCCCTAGAAATATAGATGAACACCTTGCTGGGGTCGTTTGACCCCAGTACTCTTTCCTGCCACGGCAGGGGGTCGGACTTGGTGATCTGCTCAGGTCCCTTCCGACCCTACCAACTATGAAGAAGCTCTGGCCTTGGCTGCCCAGTATCCCTTGTTCCCCTCTCCCAAAAGCTGCCTTCCCCCAGCAGCATACTGGCTCATGCTGGGTCTAGGGCTCTTCCCAAAGCATGGTGCCATGTCCAGGCCTTCCTGTGCAAAGCAGCCTTGTCTGTGGGATTTGTGGTCTCTCCAAGGTGTGCAGAGAGCCTGTGAGGGCAGCTCTTCTGTACTGGGCACTTCCCCTTTTCTGGAAAGAATCAAAGAAAGGGTTCAGGTCTCTTCTGTGTTTTCATTGCAGGAGATGGCCTGACCGGGAAGGGGAGCGAGCAGCCAACTGAGAAGGTGAGCAGAGTGTAGCTTGGTGCCTGTGTCTACGAGCTCCCAGGGCACCCTCTCCATGACCAAGCCCCAGTGAGGGACACCAGCTGTCTCTGTCTGTACCATGTCCAGTTCCGGTAGGAAGGAGCTTGCGTTGTTCCTGTTGCAGAGCATGGCCCAGAGGCCCCCTCTGTGCTGTGCATGTGGCCTCAGTCTGTTACTTCCTTGCTGCTGCCAGGGCACCTTCCTTAGCGGCCCAGTCAGCATCCCCACATGGCTAACCCTGGCTACGACCTTGGCCTGGGCTCAGCACAGTTTCAAGGGAATGCAGCCAGGACCCTGGTGGTCCCCAGGCGCTGTCCTCGGTGGCTAATCCAAGTGTTCTCTGGGTGTCTTCTAGGAGCAGAAGAGAAGCGAACGAGCCAGGAGGTCAGAGGCAGCGAGGCCTGAAACTGTGAACTCCTCTGAGAGCAGTAAGTGGCTGGGCCTGGCCCAGGGCCTGGGCTTAGCCTGGGAGCAGAAGGCTAATGAGAGTGGGGTAGAGGTGCTGTGAGCAGACCTAGGGGAAAAGCACAAGAGCTTGGGCACTGACTGCCCTGTCACCCCAAGGCAAATCTCTGCCCCACGGTTTTCCATCTGCACGCAGGGATGTTGGTCCTGACCTTCCCCTGGGATTGTGCGCAGTCTGTCTGCATAATCTCAGCTCCATCTGCTCATCCAGGGCCTCCCCATGTAAAGCACCAATGAAGCATCCTCTGGGGATACATCCCAGGAAACGAATCCTCCCTAGTGCCCCCTTCCCAGCTGGGGCAGCCTGTCCTGTCGGGGCTATCTGTTGTTGCCGCCATGCCAGCAGGGGTCTGGAGACTCTTCATTGCGGGGCCTTTCCTGAGGGGACGTGTCCGGCCCTAGTGTGTGAGAGGCAGGGCCTGCAGCCCTGTGTCTCTGTGCTCATCTGCACAGAGAGGAGATGTGTTATTAGAGGCTGCCTGTGTCCTGTGTTGGAAGGGACTGAGGGAAGCCAGCCCCAGGACCTGCCCCGTTGTCTGTGAGCACTGTGCGTCTCTCCAGGCTCCTCACAGCAACCCCCCTTTCCCCGTTCAGTTCCAGTGTCCGACGAGGACTCGGACGCGATGGTAGATGATCCCAATGATGAGGACTTTGTTCCATTCCGCACACGGCGCTCAACCCGCATGTCCCTGCGCACGCAGATGGCCCAGCGCGCTGCCCGCTCCACCGTCACCAAGATGACCTGTGCTCATTGCCGCACCCCACTGCAGAAGGGGCAGACAGCATACCAGCGCAAGGGGCTTCCTCAGCTCTTCTGCTCCAGCTCCTGCCTCACCACTTTCTCCAAGAAACCTCCTGGCAAGAAGATCTGCACCTTCTGCAAAAAGTATGTGATACTTTCCCTGCATTGTGCCTTCAGCCCCATCTCCACAGCCACACTGGCCATTTAGCCTACCCCTACTCTGGCTCTTGTGGTCCCTGCCTACTTGCCTTATATGCCCCTCTCATCCCTGCCCCATCTGTCTGCATGGTCTCATTCCATCTACGCATCCAGGTGCTTCCCAGGTCATGCCCCACCCTCCTCATGCATAGCAGGCCCCGCTCCCCTCCATGCCCTTTCCTGTTCTCAATCCCCTGCCCTCTCTCCCTTTAGTAGCCCTGTCCTGCTCCCCTTGGCTTCTGCCCACTGTGTGTCCTTGCCCACTGTTTCTCCCTGCTGTCCTGGTGGGAAGGGCAGCTCTTCTTGCACTCCAGCTGTCTCTCCCATGTGCTGGAGCAGGCACATGCCTGCACTGATAGCTCCTGCCCTTTCCGCCAGGGAGATCTGGAACACCAAGGACTCTGTTGTGGCCCAGATTGGCTCAGGCGGCTCTTTCCACGAGTTCTGCACCTCGGCTTGCCTCTCTCTGTATGAGGCCCAGCAGCAGAGGCCGGCACCTCAGCCTGCAGAAGCCTCCGACACCAGCCGCTGCAGCGTGTGTCACAAGCCTGGTGAGGTAAAGGAACGCCTGGACTGCTAGTGCTTGGCTCAGTGGGCTCCAAAGCTGCCTGCTGTCTCTGTGGCTGGAGCTGGAATTTGTGCCGTTGCCTGAGTTGGCCAGGTCCCTGTGAGCCTCCCATTCCAGTTATGGGACCTTGTTCCTTCTTTCAGAGCCATATGCTGGGACCTGCCAGCACCTGACCCACTTGGCGCTGCTTCAGGGTGTCAGCCTGGGGCTCAGGCTCCTGCCCACGAGCAGATATGGGCTCCTCTTCAGATGGCTGGAACCTGGGGTTGAGGAGGACTAGCCCAAAGATGCAGCTTCTATGCTGCTCCCCTCCAGCTGCCCCCATACTTCCCCTTGGCATTCGGCTTCCCCACCTGGAGCAGTAGCCTGCCTTTCTGGAGGGACAGGAAGGCTTGGGGGCTAGGCCTTTGCAGGGTGCCTTTCATGTGTGGAGGGAGGCTCTGCCAGCCCAGCCTGAGGGGTGACTGGTGCCAGTGTCTGTGCAGATTCAGCATGAGGTCAGCAACGGGAACGTGATTCACCGCATCTGCAGCGATGCCTGCTTCACCAAGTTCCGAGCCACCAAGGGGCTGAAGACCAATTGCTGTGACAACTGCGGGCTCTACATCTATAACAAGGGGCTGCCGCTCGAGTACCTGTTCCACGAAGGCCAGCAGAAGCGCTTCTGCAACTCGGCTTGTCTCAACAGCTACAAGAAGGTGAGTGCATTGGGTGGGATAGGGGGGATGTGTCTGTTGAACGCACCCCCTTCTCAGGATTTCTGCCAACCTCCCCTGCTCAGCACCAGAGCTCCTTCTGACAGCAGGCAGCACTGAGCTACTGCACCTGAACCTGCCAAAGCTTTACGGCAGATCTGCAGTCCCTCCAGAGCAAACAGTGCTGGTGCACCGAGACTATTTGCTCTGCTGGAACTGCAGACTTCAGGCCTGTCTCCGAGGCCAGCTGGAGCTCGGTGCTGGATGGGGTGAGCTGGCGTGGAAAGCAGGTTTGGTCATGTAATGTGAGCTGGGCACCTCTAGCCCAGCCGTTTAGTCAGTGGCAGCTCCCGAGGTCTCCGGAGTCCAGAGCTGGTTCAGTCCTGCACTCCTCATGCAGTGTAGAGTTCATGTAACTAGCCACGGTCCTCTTTGACCCCCAGCTCCTTCCTGC